TCCCTCTTGTCCCATCATTTGTAACTTGGTAGAAGAGACTGACCCCCCCCTCTCTGCACCCCACTTTCAGGCAGCTGTAGAGGTGTATTTTAGGGTTTCTATTGGAAGTTTTCAGAATTCCAACAGAAAACTTCCTGTTACAGTGAATTTACTTTTGGTAGTTGCAAGGTACTTAAGATCTTATCAGGAGGTTTTTCATGAGTCTTACATGAGGCAGTTTCTCTTAAAGTACTTGCTTTTGATCAGTCTTCCATGATTACTCACCCTGAGCAGTACCTCACTTCCCATAGAATCACAGAATCATGGAATAGTTTGAGTTGAAGGGACCTCAAAGCCCCCCCAGTGCCACCCCCTGCCATGGGCAGGCACACCTTCCATAGCCCAGGGTGCTCCCAGCCTCATCCAGCCTGGCCTTGGACACTCCCAGGGATGGGGCATCCACAGCTTCTCTGGGAACCTGTCCCAGTGCTCCCACCCTCTGCAGGAAGAATTCCTTCCTGATGTCCCACCTCAATCCCCACTGTGACCCTCTTGGTTACCAGGCTGTTAGAGAGGAGCAGAGGTGTTGGAAGGTTTAGACCCTGTATTTTCCCAACAGTGAGTTGTAGTTTTACCTGTTGGATTGCCACATTTATGATTTCTACCTCCTGTAGAGAGCTTTCTTAAAGGGCTGAGATGGTAGGAATCTGGTGACATTGTCTAAAACTCAGGTAGAATTTCTTCTTTCTCAAGACTGGGATCTGGGTCCTTACAAACATGTAAGTGTCTAATTCTAGTTGATCTACAGATCGATGCCAAATAGAAAGAGTTAGCAGCAGCTGTTACTGTAGCAGCCCAGTTTTGGGGAGCGCTATTGCCGTATCCTCGTTTGGACCGATTCGTTAACAACTCCCATTATGTTAAAAAGATGAAACTCTGACACGAGCAAGGGAGGTGTTTAGACCCCGTAGTGAAACTACAGGTGAAACCCTGCTGTAAACGCAGTTCTGTCTCTCATTCCCTGCTGTAAACGCAGTTCTGTCTCCCATTCTTACCTTTGGCTGAACTGAAATGGTCTCCGCGTGTCAGAAGTCTTGCTCCTCTGATCTGCAGCCGAGGAGTGAGGATATAAGCCAGGTCCTGGCGGATACCGCTGCTCAAAGGCACACCCAGAGCTGGACTTGCATGCACTGCTACAGTACCCCCTGCAGGGAAAAGATCCTTCTGATCCCGCGTTTTGGTTGTGGCTGTGACGCTTCGGCTTTCTGGGTGGTTTGAGGAGGGAACTGGCCCATGTCCAGGCGGGGTCTGGGGTAAGCAGAGCTGTGAGCGTGATGAAACCTGGAGGCTTAAAGGCTCTTTTTTTCCGTTTTTCCTTCCCCCAGCTGGTGAAACTGGCTGTTGAATGCAGCTGGTCAGATTCCTTGGTGGAACTGCAGACACTGACACGGCTGATGTATTTTGCATATGTGTCACATGATCATGAAATCGTGATGGCTTGTTCCAGAAAGATCCGCGAATCAGATGAGAATTTTTGCCACGCTGGAGACACCAAGGAGTGTGAAACGTAAGTACATGGAGCTTGGCTGACGCTGTGCCATACCTGACCTGCGTTTTGCAGGAAGAGTGTGCTGGGTGAATGTGTTGGATCACATGAGCAGAAGTGAACCAATCTTTCTCTACAGACACGCTCTGTGGTTAGAGGGGAAAGTGGATTTTTCTTACTTCTGCGGCCGCTGCTGTTGCCGCTTCCTCACCTACTGCAGACGCTGTTCTGACTCCGCAGCGTAGCCTGAGGAAAAGGCAGTGGAAGAGCCAGGCTGGGACTCAACCCAGCTCAGGAAGCAAGTGAACAGGTCATACACAGATGTGTTCGGGTGCCTTCCTGGGCTCTGCCCAGCACAGTCTCCCCACACATCTGTCATGGCCAAGCGCTAAGTAGCTTGTTCCGGCTGGTTTTCTGATGGAAGTCGCTTCCCGTGCTGAAGTGGCTCTAGTACACAAAGGGTCTACACAGGCCAGGGAAAAGACGCAGCCGTGAGTGGCAGTAGGTGACAGCAGTAGGTAACAGCAGCTGCTATATTCCGTGCTCTGGTGCCAGGTAGTCTTGTGCTCCTTAACCCCACCTGTGCATATGGCTGCAATAGGGAAGCGAGTCCTTTCTGTAACAGCCCGGTGTCCATCTTAACCGATCGTTTAAAACCTGGATCTCAAAGGAACAAAGGTTTCCTCTGTAGATGGGGGTGCTGGGGGAATCCTGTGTTACAACACGGGGTATCCTTTGATCCTTCTGGGGTTTTTCATATCATTGCCTCCAAAACCACAATGCAGTTTTATCCAAAGAGGAGGGAGTTGGCTCCATCCCATAACAATCTGTTGGAATGTAGGAAATTTGAAATAAACGTGGAACACTGGGTACAATTTTGTGTTAATTTTTCTCTCTGAAAAAGAATTTTTCTTTTTAAAAAAAAATCTGCTCTTTGAAGTTCCTGATTGTTTGCCACGTGGGGAAGAACATGTAAACCCAAAGAAGGTGTCTTAATGCAGAACAGGATTTGAGGACGTTACAGTGGTTGAGAGAACACTGGCTGCGTATCTAACGATCTGCGAACTAGCAAGTGAGAAAGTGTTTGGTTCTTTGCCAGAGGAATGTAGTCATGGATCATGGGCTGTCAGTGCTGCTTCCAGAGAAATGGAGGATAAATCTTGTCTTCCCATGGTAAAGCCGAGCCTCAGGACAGAGAAGGGTTAAATACTGGCTTTGGTGGAGCTGTAGGACACTGGTGTCCTCTGGCAGCCACAAGCCCAAACTGCACAGTTCTCCCCTCAGAGCTGGGGCTAGGCCAGCTACAACCTGGGCATTTCTGTGTGGCTGTGTGAGCGGGAAAGGGTCTTGCAGGTTGTGTAACTTCTTTCCCTGCACAATCGCTGTGAACCAGAGTTAGTTATTTTTAACTGATTAACTGCTGGGACCCTGCTTTCTTTTCTTTGAAATGTGGTAGAATGTGGTGCAAATTGATTTCTCCAGAGTCCTGTGCATATTGTGCCAGACATAGGTGAGACCAATTCCGAAAGAAAGTGTCAAAAATTGTCTAGGTTTCTCCCATATCTGTTTTTAATTGCTTGCCATATGAGTTTGGCTTTGGACTAACTTTTTGTTTGATGTACAATAGCGAACAATGGGGGAAAACCCCAAATCTATTTTCTCCCCTTGCTAAATGTAGATTAAAAGATTTTAAATCTGATTTCATAGTTATTTTTATTAGAGTTGTGAAAAAGAGATTTTATTTCTGATATCTTTTCACAAAATGTCCAGTTTTTCAAATACGGTCTGGTTGTAAAAGAAGGGTCAGTAGAAGCATTTGTAACTCCTGGAGCAAGGGACGTCTTAAAAGCATTGTTACTAGGACCTGCTGTGTTCTTAACTGTAGGACTGGCACTTCTTGAATAGTTTGCATTTATTCAGGTCTGTTAACAAGGCGAGACGAGAAATGGTAAGCACTGCTGCCTGTATACAAGGAAGGAGTATGATGGAAAATTCGCCTGGAGGGAGACATGTGCGTGTAGCAGCATCAAAAGCCTTTGTTCAGAGTGCCAGGTATGTTGTATTTCGAAATGCTTAACAAAGTTTAGTAAATTTACCACATCTTACACATGGCTGATATTTTAATGTCGTAGAATCCAGGGAGAACCTGGTTGGAAAGAAACTCAGAAGGGCTCTAGTCCAAACTCCATCTCAAAGCAGGGCCAGCCCTGGGTTCATCCAGCCTGGGCTTCCTTGAAAACTGCGGGAAAGGAGAGTTCCACTCCACTGCCTGCCTGTACTCAGGGGGAGAAGTCTCTACTTTTAACCACTCTGAGCCTTTCTTATGCCAACTTGTGCCCTTTCTTGCTCCCCCTGCCATCCACTATGAAGCGCCTGGCTACTGCTCCTCAGTGCCTGTGTTGGTTTACTCCTTGTTAGGTCCCCAAAAACCAACTCCACACTGAACCAGCCCTGCACTCGGCCTCTCCTCCCAAGGCCAGAGCCCCGGTCCCTGCATCATGCTGGGGGCACTCTGCTCAGCGTGTTGCAGGCTGTCCCTGTCTGCTGTGCCTAGAACTGGGCGCCTAGACGTGGTCTAGAGTGGTGACTGGGGGGTGATAATCCGTTGCCTCAGTGTATTGTCTGTTCCGTTAACACAGCCCAGGATGCTGTTGGCTGCTATTGCCAGAGCACCCTGCTGGCTGCTTTTCTGCTTGCTGCCCCCCAAGAACCTCGTGTCCTTTCCAGCAGTTACTCCTCAGCTCTCCTGTTGCAGAGCATCGTGTTAATACCATAAACTGCATGTTGTGAACCCAAAGGTGAAAGGCTTTAAATAGTGAACAAGCAGGAGCGGGTGATACAGAGATGATGCGTGACTGTGGTGTAAATTCTTTGGTATTTGGAAGAAATAAATTAAGGAGCAAAAGCAGGCAATTAGAACTCTTGGAAGATGAGCACGTGATGGCCGAGGTGAGGCTGTTAACATCGTACGGCTGCCTGCCTGCCTTCCTCCCTCCCGAGCGCTCCTCAGGAAGGACTGAGTGTATGTACAGCTCCACGCATCCCAAAAGGAAGACAAGAAGTGGTGAGCAAAAACTAGGCCTTCAGTCTGGTGTTGAGACACAAGGTCTGTGAGCACATGGACTCTGAAAGTCATGGAAGTGGGAGAGGATGACAGAAACTGCCAGACTGAAACCTGCTTGTTTTGAAATAGTAAAACTCTTCAACGGGTGTTAGTTTCATCCCAATCCGTAACTTTTAGCTAAATCCTAAAGCCTTTGCTCACTCATGAGAGTTCTGTGTTGTATCACAACCTGGAGAATTATTAAATTATATGAATTCAAAGTAACATTTGCATGGAATATACTCAAAACAATTGGAATGCAGCTAGAGGGATTTGAGGAATATTGTGTTACAGTGGTTCTGTGCTATGCACAATGCTTGGCATTTCAGTAACAGCTTTGTTCTATTTTTAGTGGTTTTAGAAAGAGAGCTTAATGCATTAGGAAGCCAAAAAGGTAGATTATTCCAATGAGAACATCTCTAGTAGATTTCTGCTATTTTTTAGTGAAGGCTGCTGAGCCAAGTTTACACAGAAAGGCAGTAAAACCATGAGAGTGGTTCTGTGCTATGCACAATGCTTGGCATTTCAGTAACAGCTTTGTTCTATTTTTAGTGGTTTTAGAAAGAGAGCTTAATGCATTAGGAAGCCAAAAAGGTAGATTATTCCAATGAGAACATCTCTAGTAGATTTCTGCTATTTTTTAGTGAAGGCTGCTGAGCCAAGTTTACACAGAAAGGCAGTAAAACCATGAGGATTTTTTTTTTTCTGAATGTGTGAGGGGGATTTGTACGTAGAACCTTTTCTATGGAGCTCATTCACTTAACCCCTCACTGCTGAGATGATGTATGGGTGGTGCCTGGATCAGGTGACCCCAAATGTTTCCAGCAGTAAACGCTTTTATTTGGCTGGAGTCGGGTTGTTCCCCTCCATTGAGCTGTTTGCTTTTGGCAGGAACGCAGGGGAGGCTGGGAATTACTCCCTTGCAATGTCCGCAGCTCGGCACTTCTGGAATGCATGTTTACCCCTGCTGGGCTCTCCACATGACAGGAAGCACTTTAAAGAGCCTACTGAAGTAATTCTCCAGAATATAATTAAAGCAGAATCTAAGAATAAACAGGTAAGACTAACGGGTGCTGTTAACTCTGCTTGTGCTTAGTGGGCGGTGTGTCGCGGTTTGCTTGGAAGCTTTGGTTGGCTGCTTCAGGACACCAGAGAGGGAAGAGCGACCTCCTTGTCAGAAATACGGACCTGGTTTCTCACCTGCAGCCCCACAGCAAACATTCCCATGGCATCGCCAGGAATCACGTTCACATGGAATCCATGCTCTCCCCACGCGTGGTGGTTCTGCTGGGTTTAGGCAGTGGTGAGACTTGCAGGAGTTTGCATCAGAATATGCTGCTGCCTGAGGGGCTGCAGTGCCAGACCCCACCGAAGGGAATGTTGCGGAAAGACTCCAAAGGAAATCCAGAAAAAAGCTGTCCCTTCCAGAAGGTGTGATAGCAGCTCTTAGAACACGGACTCAGGGAAAAGGCAGGGTAACTGCACTCAAGTTCCCCCCACCCGCAGGTGCACATTGCTGCCTGCAGAAAGGAGTTTGTACTTTGCCCACCTCTGGTAGCTACAGCTCAGATGGTTTCTTAGTGCGGCCTTAGGCAGTGGGCAGCGTGCCAGCGGAGCTGCGTGTGGACCTGGCTGTGAACCGAGCGTCAGCTTATCTGTGAAGGTGCAAGCCCATGAGCTCGAGGGGATGGAAAAGCTCTCTCCTCTCCCATCTTTGGGTGAGAATTGTGATGGTCCGAGTTTCACAGGCAGAGGCAGCTGAGCACACTGGGACAAGAGACATGAAGTCATCTTTTAAAAATGCCCAAAACCAGGCTGCAGAAATGACCTGGTACTCGTTGCTGACCAGAGAGGCTGTGGACATACTGCTTGGAGTACTGGAAAGGTGACTGAGTGAGGGGCAGCGGCTCTACTTCAGCCTGCTTTGGGCAGGGGTGTTGAGTAGGGTGCTCTCTTGTCCCTGCCTGCCCCAGCCTCTCTGATGGGGCACGTCAAGATCTCATGGTATTTAATGAGTGTAACTGCTGGGATGTTACTCGTCCAAGTTAGTGCTGCGTTGGGTTTGTATGGCAGAACTTACTCTGCAGACATGGCTGTGCGTTTTGGCTCCTGCAAAAGTAGCTGTTCAGGTAACAGGTTAATAGCTCATATTGACCATATCCACTGATTTACAGAAGAAACAGAACTGCGGTAATACTTAAAGACATGTGTTAGCCAAAAGATCACTGGCTTTTTTTGGTCTGTTTAGGAGAAGAAGGATATGCTGCCTTTGCATCAGTGGATTACAAAGGATTTTCAAAGCATTGGGTCATCAGTTGGATCCTTTCTCCGAGGCACGTTCTTCCTTCTTTTGATCTGGTAATAAAACCCCCAGTGTTACATAATGTTATTATCAACCTGCAGCGTATTAATAAATCATTTGAATATACTTCAAAGGTGCTGAGGAAGATCTGGCATTAAGAACCTCCTTATATGGGTTGTTATTTCACATATATGCTGATAAAGCTGACTGGGAGACAGCACTGCAAGTCCTGGATGAAGCTATTCAAGTTTTGCCTCAGACGAGACACAGGCTGTGAGTTGGGTCTCTTATTTCTGTGAAAATAAACATCCTGATTCTTGGGTAGCAGGAAAATCAGTGGTTTGTTAGTTTGCATTGGGAAGATGTTACATTTACTTTTGCCAGTTCTTACAGCAGAAAACACAGTTGTTTCTTTTCCCTGCGTTGGCAGCGTTTCATGTCGGTAATCTATTCATAATATTTGTTCTTAAAACTTGTATATAACTAGTATCTTACTTTTCCAAGAAAAAAGGTGCACGAAATGTGGCCATGTAGCAGGAACTTCAGTGTTTGTAGCTGTAAACCCATTCATGTTAAATGGAAATTAAATGACCTGGAGTGTGGTTTACAGTGTCCTATCAGAGCTCAAAGATTTACACCCTTTTATGCCATTTGTGGCAAAAATCAGTGGTTTGTTAGGAGTGTCCAAGGCCAGGCTGGATGAGACTTGGAGCAACCTGGGCTATGGAAGGTGTCCCTGCCCATGGCAGGAGGTGGCACTGGCAGGTCTTTATGGTCCCTTCCCACCCAAACCAGTCTGTGATTCTATGATTCCATGATTTTATGAACTTTACATCTCTGTGCTGTACTATACAGGCATGAACAGGAAATCTGGGATTTTGGGGTTCTGTCCTCTCACAGGTACAGTTACAGATGCAAGACACTTGCAGTTTTTTTGGTCTTTTTCTAGCCTGATTTTTAAACACATGGCTACAGCGAAGGCAGCATTGGGGTGTGATTTCATGATGGATGTTCAGAAACTGAGAGATGAAGGTGAAGACTACTTGTCGCGGATGTGGCGCCAGCTGGGAGCAGTCTCCAGAAGCACTGCTGGGCAGTTAAGCTGTTTCCAAAACGCAGTCGTTGCTTTACAGGTTGGTCAGTGTTTGCTGCATGTTCAGATGCCGGCAGAATGATGGTACCCAGGGAGTTGTGGGATTGTGGGTTCGGGGAAGTACGTAATTGAGTTGGCAGGAAGACCGTGTCTGTGGCTGTTCCTGTTTGGAACTTGGAAATGGCTCTTCATTTGGAAAACTGGGTGTCTGAATGGTCATGCTTGGTATATGAGCTGGGGGAGTTGGCTGGGGGGAACCACTGCGTGGGGATGGCTGAGCGTCAGTCAGCTGGTGGCGAGTGGTTGTATCGTTTTTTCCTTCTCTTTTTCTTTTTTTAAATTACACATTACCATCATCAGCAGTAGTAGTATTCTCACTGCATAGTAGTAGTAGCAGTAGTAGTATCATTATTTTACTTAATTTCCTTTCAACCATTAAGCTGTTCTTATCTCAACCCACAAGTTCTCTTTTCCCTCTGATTCTTCCCCATCCCACTGGGGCAGGGGGGAGTGAGCGGCTCGCGAGTACCTGCTTGCTGCCTGGGGCTGGGCCAGGACACTTGGTACGCGGTGAAGGTTCAGCTGAGGCCTGTCAAAGGCAAATGTCAGAGTAGCCAATTGCAAGGAACTTTCCAAAACCAAGAGGTAACGGATGGAGTTCTCTGTTACATTCTGGTCCGCATACCTGATTATGGGATGCCAGTGGAACTGCTCACTCTCAAATTATTGTTTGCTTCTGTAAAGTCCATATTGAAATTTTGGATGTAATTTTGATGGTTTACATCACCAAATATACTCAAACTTTTTCTTGATTACTTTTACAGAAACAAGAAAATGATTGGCAGAAGGTTAATTATCTGATGGAATTCGCTGAATGGTTGTACTGTAACCAGTTCTCCCTCAGTGATGTTATGAAGGTTCTGGATTGGGTGGTAGATCTCTTGCTGCATATGGAATTTTCCATGCACTCCTCAGGAGAAGAAGGTATGTAAAAGGGTATGTCCTTCAGAGGTCTGTTCTTCCACAGATATTTTCATTTGCAATTCAGAAATTTTAACTTCTGAATACATTTTTAATACTGTCTCTGTGAGCCTGTTGTTTCTTTTTTAACAGAAAAAAATACTATACCAAGGTGTTTGCCTACAGAATATTTGAAGACAGACATTGCAGCAAGTGATACCAGGCCCCAGGTTAATTTGGAGGACTTGAGGAGCGTGAAACATTTGGAAGCTCTGTTCAGAGCGCAGACACTGATGGCTTTAGTTTCTGGCCAGAGCTCTCCCGTTCATCAGCAGCATTGTTTGCTGGCCTGCGCTTGTGTCGTCCGCATCTGGCAGGTGAGATTGCACAACATTGCATTACGTCCTCACGTGGCCAGCGTATTTCAGGCTGTCTTGTCTAACTGCGGTGCCAGCTACTTGCTTGATGGTTTAACCACGTTCTCAGTCAGCCGCATGGTATGGTTAGCGTGCAGCCTGAGGTTTACGGATTAAACAGGAAACCTGTTTCTCTCAGAAAAACGGGGAAGAGACGCTAAGGCTAAAACCAGTGGCCAGTTGCTTCCTGGGAGGACACTCGCCCATTTCATGCAAAAGGTTCTAAAATATTGCGGGTTTAATTTGTTAAAGGATCTTAGTGGCCGAACACATGCCGAGCCATTGCTGGCAGCGTGGAGGGATGGGAATTACTTTCCCTTAGCTCGAATGGAAGGGGCTGTCATTTGGCTGAAGGGAACTGTGTGACAGCTCAGTGAAATGCAGCTGTTGCTTTGTTTAGGTTTTGAGGAAAAGTGCAGGCTGGCCACATTTTCCCTACTTTCTCATTGTTACGGCATTTCAAATCCAACATCTCCTTCATTCTCGTTGGTATGAATGCCCCGTTTGAGTGGCTGTTGAGAACCATAAAGTCATAGGGAAACACTTCTGCCTTAAGTATGAGTAAATAAAGAGGCTAAATCTATACTTGATAGTGGGAATGCCACAAGTCACTATAGAAGCAGCATCGGTGCTATCGGCCGGATGTAGCAACTCGCTGGGTAAGTTATGTCTGGTGCCTAAGTGTATTACAAATGGCTGCAAAAGCCCACGAGTTGTTACTCCCGTGGTGACTATGATGAAATGTTCATCGTGAAGTCGGTTTAGACCCCAGCATTCGATGAAGACAGGAATTTCAAAAATAAAACTTGAATAATGATGTTTTCAGGTTCTACACTGGCATAATTTGTGATATCCTGCACCTGTCTGAGTGTCTTATGAGGGAAAAAGGTGTCTGAAAGGAGCATCACTGTTTGAAAAAGCTGCTAAAAATTGGGAGTTCATGTGGCTGTCAGTGCCAGCTGCAGAACAGTGACAGCAATTTTAGAACCTCATATTTACACCCCAACAGCACCACGAGAGACACAACGACCACGTGGCACTGAGTGAAGGTCTATGGGGCGGCTGGACCTTGGAGTAGCAAGGGAAGCAGCTGGGAGGGCGGATATCCATTCTGAAAGAGGCTCTGGGGTGTTAGGGCTCCATGAATAACTCAGTAGAAGACATGGAAATGTTTTCTGAAAGCCTGAAGGATGGAAGGCGCAGCAGCTGCCTCTGCCGTTGGTAAAGACACGGCTTACACTTCCTCTGAACAGTTCAGTTCTTGTGCAGCACCCAGCAGCGGTTTTTGTTCATATGTTGTGTTCTGCTCTTGATCCCTCCAACAAAGTGTGTTCATCTTCTCAGTTAAGGGGTTTTCTAGACTTCAGTAAGTTCAGATGCTGCTGCCCGTGCAGAGGAGTATTCAGTGGGTGCCTTCACAGGCGTGAATGTTTAGCAATTCCATCTCGATGACGTTCATTAGCACCGTTGCAGACTGCTAACCCGGAGGCAGAACACAGTGGCGCCTCACTCTCTGCCGCCTGCGCTGACAGGGCCTAATGCCTTGTGGAAGATTAAGCAGCCTAGGCTTGTGTTTAAAAATAAAGGAAATAAAGCCGTGCAGCTTCGAAACGTGGCAGTGGTGTTTGTCACAGGGACAGTGTCATCTTTGGCCTCCAGCTGCCCAAGTGCCTCATCGTGGTCACCCTAAATGCTTGTGTGAGCAGCACCAGCATCCGGGGCCTGTGTTCGTTTTCTGAAGAAAGCTTTCATGCAAACAGAACAGGATGGGTGAGACCTGTCAATAGCTGTGGAGAGTGACTTACAGGGAATAATCGTTATTAGTAGAAATGGACAATAGTACTGAAACTGGAGATAATTAACTGAAACTGGTTTATTATCCAGGTAGCCTTGGCAGCATCCGGTCCTCTTACCGAAGTATTATCAAAGCCTTCACAACTCACAGCTCCTCAGAAGTCAGTAATTGCTCCTAAAACAGAGAAGGGCAGAAAGAAAGAGAAACCAGTAAGAAGCCCTTTGCTGTGGAATTAAACCACCGTCTCTCCCCAGGAGCTATTTCCCGTGGCTCATTTGTTACGCAGCTCAGACGCTTTCCTGGAGAGACTTATGGCCTGTGAAGAATGTCTGTGTATCCTTTACTCTCCATCGCATGGGCTTGGCAGCTCATAAGCTGACAGACGGGGGTTTTTTGTTTGTTGCAGTGGTCAAAATGCTGCTGTTTTGTTAAGCCCAGCATAGAGGTCAAAAAAGAACAACAGACCTTCAGAGGATGTTAAGCAGATACAGGGGGGTTTTAATATCAGCTGAATATTTAATACCAACAAGAAAGTGAATGTGGCCTCATAAATGCCCTTGGTTTTTATTATAGGTTGACCTTTCTGCTGTGCAAGAGAAGCCTAAGGAGAGGGGCTTGGTGGCCACCTTACCAGCAAACGTGGAGGAATGGGCTGAGTACGACTGTCCCAGGGAAATCCGAGATACTTTTAAACACAAAACAAACAGTTACGGTATTAACCGGGATAATTTCCCTGAACCTGTAAGTATAATCCTCCAAGTTCTAGAGCATTTATTATTTAGGAAAAAGATAAGCAGCAGAGAACTGTTGTGGTTGCGTTTTTCTGCCTCTGCGGTAAAGACTGTCGAGCCAGTGCTGGGGGTGCTGCCTTGGGCTGGTACCAGGTACCGCTGCAGACAGTGTTGGTTGTCTGTTTGCTGTTGGCTCGGCACTCAACAGCAAACTGAACTGACTGGCTTTCCGGACCACCTGCCTGCTGCTTTCAGCCTGAGAGGGTTGGTGTGGGGGCTTTTAGTGAAGTTTGGAACTGGAGATGAAATCATTACTTCAAAATTCACTTTAATGATCCATTCATTTAAATGATATTTAGACTGATTGAATTAAAATAACTTCCTTTTCAGACTTGTACTTTGTATTTTATGGACCTTTTATCTAAAGAACTGCAGAAAATCTTCTGCCCCCACCTGGTTCTTCCCATCTTTCAGCTGGCTGAAGTGATTGCCGACGAGGTGGTGGCATGTAGAAGTCTGTCTGATCTCTATCACCTTCGGTTTGTATCCTTTACTTCAGCAACATCGAACGTGAATGGAGCTGACCCGCCATTAGTGCTCTGCCAGATATTAATGAGGGTGGGGGGTCACACCTCTGATTTCTTGAGACGGCGGGGGGCACATCTCTGATTTCTTCATTTCTTTTCAGTCCTTTTTTACGCATGTTAATAGTCTTGATGACTTGGTTTGCTTGTGGGATTAAAGCCACTGCATCTGTCTGCTACCAACTACGATCCGCACAGGGAAAGGCGCTCAGGCTTAGGAATGCATGCCACTTCATGTGGGTAATTTCAGTTGTGCCTTCTGGTCGCTAACTGACAAAAGTCCAGAAGCAATTCAGTAACAGCATCGCCGTTTCAGCATTCAAAAGGCAGCCCCCGGCTTGTCCTGAAGTACACTGTCTTCAGCATAAGGACCCACACAAGTGTCCCCAATAAGTGTGTTTTCTTGTGTGGAGATCTGCTTTTGGGACCAAAATGCTGTTATTTGATGGATGATTAACCCTAAAAGTTTTGATTAAAAACTAGTTCATATGCACGCACTGGCAAATTATTGCTGGTTTAGCTCCAATCTCATCGTGCTTGTTTGAAATGTGTTGCGTAATGTTGGTTAATAATTAACGGTTATAAGCGCTAATTGTTTGCTTTAATCCCTGGTAGTTTGTGAAATGCCACGTAATGTAGTTTTGCACGCCTGAAACTGATCCCACATGGTGGAACAGATAAGGCTCGTGGATCCCGATGTACATGTACGCATCTGGGTTGCCATTTGAGTGCTGCGTTGCTGCCTTACGAGACTAAAAGTGACTGACTGATGGGAAATTGTTTGCAGCCAGGTTTTGCCCGACACATTTTTTTGTTGGCTCCTCAAGATTGTTTTTATTTATTTATATCTACGACCTGGTTTTTGATAGGGTCAGAAAGGTGTATGTTAATATATCACTCCATACGCAAATCGGGAATACGTTAGCGCAAACACATATAGGGGAGTTTTTGCCTGCTGTAGTGAGACCATGTTATAAATACCTGTGCACTCCTAGCACATCATTTTTGCTGCTAAATTGCAGAGACATGGGCTTATGGACCAGATGTACTAGTGGATGCCCCATCCCTGGAAGTGTTCAGGGTCAGTTGGAGGGAGCTTTGAGCAGCCTGGTCTAGTGACAGAGGGCCCTGCCCGTGGCAGGGGGTGGGACCAGGGGATGCAAAACGTGCCTTCTACCCCTAACCCCTTGATCGACGTGTGGCCTCTTCCGTTGGGTGATGCCAACTGCTGCGTTCCCCCCTTTTTTATCTGAAATGTCTGTTATTGCTGGCATTGATCTGGACATCAGGAGGTGTGATTGAAAACCTGGAAGGTGCGCTCTTTATACAGAAGGTGTTTGTAGAAAGCCAGTACAAAAGAGTCTGCTCATTAAACACTTCTTGGTTTTATTGCTAGCATTGCTCTGGTGTGCTCAGAGCTGCAGCTGGGCCGGGCATCTTTGTACCACGAGAAAGCTGCCGGAGAAGCCCACCTCCCTGAATCGGAACAAGCGGAGTACGTACGGTCGCCACAGAGGCTGGTATCGGTTGGGGTTTTTCCCTGCAGGTGGTGTGTTGTTGGGGCAAAAACACATTTAAAAGCATGAGCTTAGCAGTGGTTTGGTACGTGAGCTGTGCCCTAAACTGTGCGTGGTTGGTTTGGATCTACTCACAGGGTGGGTGTGTGGGGAAGATGCCCAAAGTACTAACGCTTTATGATGAAAAACTTAAACCAGACTTGAATTTCATTTGCCTTCTTGTGATGTAGGTGTTGGCAAGAGATTGCGCTGCGGAAAGCAAACCGGGTCCCTGCTGCAGTGGAAGGGGAAATATGGTTTGAAAACGCTTGGCTGAAGGGTGGTGGGGACAAGAACCCCCTTACCTCCTGGGAGAAGGTTTTTATTTCTACTCAGTTTCTTTAATAAATTACTCGTCACTTTTTATTTTAATACACTTGCTAGTTGGCTTTTGAAGAAGTGTGTGTGAGAACAGCATGAACACAAAGAGCTGTGAAAAACTTGCACTACTTCAGCCCTGGCAGGCCTCAGCGGACGGGCGGGTTTGCCTGGCGCCGCCTTCGCATTGTGAAGCTTGGAAGAGGGAGAGCTGCCCTGCTGCAAGTGGAGCTTGGCACCAGCACACATGGCGGGAAAGACGGAAGCACGCCAGACCGTGTGCTTGCTCTTGTCTCAGTTGTCTCAGCTGTCTCCCTCCCTCTATTCTGGTTGCCCTGTCGTCTACGTTGTTCTAAGGGGGCACAGACACTTCAGCTCTGTCACTTCTGCCTCTTCTCCAGGAAGATAATTGCCACACTGCTACCCCGAAAGCTTCCCTCGGCTTTCCTCTTCACTAGGGCAGCTCTGTCCTTGTTTCCTTCACATCACTTTGTTCTCTGTGTTCTTGTGCGGGTAAAACACCTTTTCTGTGTCCTGACCCCCCTCGAGTCGCCTCTTTTAGGCCTTGCAAACAGCATTTCTCCGTGATTGTTTTAGTTAGTACCAAGAATCAAGTTCATCAAGACCGTGGCAGATCTGAAGTCGTTGGTCTGTTCTAAGGTTGGTTTCAGCAGTGTGGACTGGTTAACTGAATGCTTTGTGAAATCAGCCTCAGACTGAACCCGGCTTTCCTGAGCTCCGGTGTTGAGTTTCGAAGTTAGAAAATAGAGCTGGGTGGTGGGAGACACCAGCAACTGAGCATGATCCTCGGTAACAGTTCGTGTTCCATCTAGTTCTGAGATTTGTGAAGGTGTCGTGTCGTGTTGTCTTTCAGGTTTTTGAGTTAAATGCGGTAACAGGAACAGGACTGAGTGCACTGTCCTTCCCCTACATGTGGATGGAAAAAGCTGAGGTGCTCATTCAGTTGGGCGCGTGTCAGCCTGCGGGAGTTCTGCTTTCAGAGGCCCATGCTGCAGCTCAGGTACCCTGAAATGAAATGGAGAGGGAAATTAATAGAACTGATAGGAAAAATGTTCATTTTCATGCAGTCGCTCCTCATAACAATAGTGAAATTGCAAAACCAGACCTTCCCCCCATCCCACCCCAGACCTCTGCGATGTAGTTTCAGCATGAAGCAGACGTGTACATACGTGGCCCTTAAGCCCAACTTTGTGGGAATTAGCTGTGGTTGGATGAACAGCCGCTGGCACTGAAATGATGATTTAGAGTTTGGGCAGATCTGAAACTGGTGTCCATGTATTCCGCTGGACAAATCCACCCCGTCTCTTTGTGATGAAGGGTTTACATCACATGCTCTTCCTCTGTCTGCCATTTCGCATGAGTGCTCCCTTGGTTCTGAAGGTTATTGAAACATAATTATTGCAAGAAATCCTTTACTTGAAAAAAAAAAAAGAATTACTTGTTATCCTGTTATTCCACATCATATTTTTCCTCATGAAAACAAACCTGCCTGTGTGTATCTAGCAGGAATCATGAATGCTTCCAATAATAATACAGGACTAATATATTCTTAATGATATATGTCTCTTAGTAAAGCATGAATTTAGGGCTGTGCACTGAGAAGTTCAAAAGGCATTAGGGAGGCAGTAATTTAGCTGTCTCCTTTCTTCTCAGCATTCTGGGCCTGCGTGCCAGCGTGCTGTCTGTACCAAACGCTGCTTGTCTCTCATACACCACTGGTGGGTGGTTTATACCGCGCGTACCGTAGCACTGTGAAGTTACTGCAGCTCTGGAGTATCTCAATCCCAGTTCCCAAAAAAGCTTTTCATCACCACGTTTCTTGGGCAGCAGATACGTACGTACGGAACAGTAGCAGGCAAACAGCTTCTTTGGCTTGTGGGGTAGAAGATAGGGGAACAAGAAGAAATGTAAAGTATATTTGAAGACCTGAAGGTTGTGGTGTGCAGTGGACACCGGTTTGAAAACACCAAAGTAATAGGAATTGCAGTAATGGATCTTTTGTGTGTCAGTCATGTATCTTCTTCCTAGGAATTGGGGGCCCTGTGCGATGTGTCACGGTGCTTGTACCTCCGTGCTGTGTTGGCTAAGCTGGAAGGAAGCCACAGGCAAGCTAGAGCACTCCTTGAGAAAGCCCAGCTCCTGGGGGGCAGTGAGCAGTTCTGGTACAGCAGCACGCTTGGTCTTGCAGGAGCCATTCTAGAGGAAGAGGAGGAGGGAAAACAGAGTGTGGTAAGGAAGCTTTTTGGGTTTGGTGGGTGGCTTTTTGCAGTGGTGGTGCCTCTTGGTGAAGAAAAATGCCTTTGCATTTCAGTAAAAGCAAAATAGGTACAAAATGCATTTACTGATGTTTCCTGTATTCAATAAGCGCTCATTACAGATTTCAAACAGATGCAAGCCTTAGGAATGAGATTTTACCCACGGAGGTTTGGGATGGTTTTGTGATAAGCTGTGGATCCTTCTGCTGAAATCGGAGCAATTGTGATCTAGTATGTGTAACCCAATCCCAGAGATCAGATTCCCTCAGTTAGAATGGTTTTGTACATGGACAGTCCTGGTAACCTTGATGTGTTTATTTTCCATATTTCATAAAGATTGATAACTTTCAGTATTATTTCCTCATATGCACTTTCTTTTCAAATATTTTGGGTAGTTTTACAGATATTGTTTCTAGATTCTGAAAGATCATGCTGTCAGTATAATGTATATTTATTTCAAATATTTTCCTCTTTGACCATTAACATTGAAGTCCATTTACTGTTCAGCCTTAACACAGGTTTCACTGTAAGTGTCTTGTGGCTGTGGTGATCTGGCCATTAGTGGTCATCTGGGCGAGTCTGTTTTGTATCGAGGGATGATTTTCATTTGGGCTGAACTCACGTTTACAGTCGTTGAAAGACAAAATACCTGGTTAGACTGAGAGGAGTTGGAAGGTTTTACCAGTACAGCCATTCAGGAAATGTGTGAGGTGGGGTTTTTCTCCCACATGACTGACCAAGAGGGCTGCAGCAGCAAACGTTTTTGCAAAGGACAGATCTGTAGATGAGTTTTTGAGCATCATCTAAAGTTTTTTTTCATTCCAAACCATTGCTGGGGACTTCTTACACCCCAGGTGGCCAGTGTAGAAGTGTGAGGCCTGCTGGTAGGTGGATGTGCTGGTCAGTGTAAGAAGGATGCAGGGATCCTGTGAAATCCAGAATCAAGTGACTGTTTCAGTTAGAGGTCTAACACCAGCAAGGCAGGGTCAGCCTTGGAGTGATGTCAGCCCATACAGGGGAACCAGGTTGCACTGGGCTGTAGATGGCACTTTTCAAATATCCCTGAGAATGCTGATTCCCCAATCTTTCTGGGCCTTTGTTACACCCCCTCCCCCCCCAAAAAAGGGACTCTGAAGGTGGCCAAACACTGAGCATCTGTTCAGAATTACCCTCCTTCCAGGTTGGGGCTGTTGCCACCCGATCTTGTGCTACCCATCTCTAAGATGGGTCTGGCTCCATCTTCTTCCCGTGTGTGTGTGCCCCGTTCACTTATCAGAATGTCTAAAAGTGGGTGTAACCCTTACTGTCTGGACTTTAAACACAGCTGTCAAGAATCACTCACCTTGGGGTATATTCGGGAGAGATACTTAACGTGTTCTGCACAAAATTTCAGCTTTCCGAGTGGGAGTTTGTACACAGACCTCCACAGTGGAAGCACTTTGTTTCTGGTGTCCCTGCAGGCGTGCGAGGCGCTGGAGCGCACTCTCAGCATGCTCAGAGCCGCCGTACTGCGGAGGCCGAACAGAGAAGCAGAGCTGGGGTTTATGATTACATCCCTTGAAGCCAGGTAACTCTCTTTTCATTGAAATATGCCCAGCCTACGGTGATTTTTACCGTTCATCTTTATTTTAGTAGGGTACATTCTGTGAACTCCCAAGTATTTTTCCTCCCAAAGAATTTATCGGTTTGTTGGTTGTTTTGGGTCTTCTTAATTTAAATTTCCTCACCAATGTCTTCATTCTCGTGTGTAGCGCTACTGGCCATGAAGTTCTTCAGCTAGTTCGGATACCACAGCCTACTGTGCATAGCCTGTGATGCAGGTGACCCAAAGGAGGACGATACATTTACCTTCACAGAGGTCTCAGCACAGATACTCCCCCAGCGCCACTGCAGGCTGCAGTATTGAGCTACTCCTCCCCATGATCCCAGAAGTCTCTTCATGGTGAAACAAAACAACGATTTTGGTTACACTGAAATCCAGGCACAGAGAGTTTAAGGTGTCCTGGTAAAAGGAGAGAGAGAAGTGCATGACATTTCCACTCCCTTCTCTTCCCAGAAATGTGAGACTTCTGGGTAAGAAAGGGAAGACTCCTAGTCTCCTCAGTTCAGCTGTGTTTAGATTGATGAGGCCTAGGCAGTGGGAATAACTACATACGTGGAACAAGTGTCACCTCAGTTCTCATCTCCAAATACAATATCTTGATTTTTGCAGGACCTGCTATAATTTGTAGACCATAGATTTAAAGAATGAAGGGTCTTTTTCATCATTTAAAGTAGAGCAGATAGAAATGTGTCTGTGTTCAAACACAGCCTGTGCTTTCTGACTACCCTCTTGTAATTCTTGTTTTTCCTAGGAAAACCCTTATTCAGATACATTTGGTCCAAGATTGTGTGACAGTTAATGCCGAGCCCTGTCGGTTGCCCCAGGAGCTGCAGGAGTCTTACAGTAAATTAGCTCAACTGGAGAAGGACTTCGCACACTACGGGCACAAAACCTACAGCGCCGAGATGCTGCTGGAACGTGCAAACGTTCACAGGTGAGACGATACCTCTGATGAAAAATTGTATTTGACTAGTGCACCAAGTGTACTGGTTAGATTTTTATAGGCCAGTTCAAGGTGGAAAGGAGCAGGTAACATTGTCAGGTTTTATATCTTGATGTTACACAGCTCTTTGCAGCCTCAAAGTGTTCAGTATTCAGAAAAGTACTGAGGAATCAAAACTTCCTTTCTCTAAAGGCAGTTAGTTGTACGTGGTACTGGTGATTCTGGCACTGCGTCGGAGGGCGAAGCGAAGTCTCAAGGTCTCTAAGCCAGCTTTTGGTCTTCCCATTTGGGAAGTCATTTTGGCAGCTCCACCGACCATTCTCTGGTATTTCCAGGCTTTGACAACCCTTGCTGTTGAGTGGTTCTCCAGAATTGCTGTAATAGCAGAAGTCCCGACCACGGTGTGCCTTGATCCCCGCTCATTCCAAGATGTCCCCTTAAAAGGACCGGGAGATGTTTTGTACATGGCTGTTTGCCCTTTTGTTCCTGGTGAACACATCCTCTGGAATGTCATCTGCCTTTCTTCTTTGTCTTGGCGTCACCGTGCATCGCTGCAGCACGGTTCCGGGAATAAGACCTCGAAAAGATCATGTGTGACTGTTCACTCGTCCTGTATGAACAGTTCGAAAACACTTGTACAAAATGAACCTATTTCATCTAAGAATCGCTCTATTTAAGCTATTCATCTAATCCATTAATATCATTGTTGTACTAGATACGTTCAGTAGTGTTGATTCCATAAACAAACGCTTTCTTACAGTAGTTTCCTCGGGTCCGTGTGGGTTTTTCAGGATGATTGCCAAGCAGGAAAGAAGCAAAGCAGCAAAACACGGTCACTATCTTGATGCTTATAACCTAGCTCAGAGGGCAGTATCCAAAACGGAGGAGGTGTTTCATGACCTTTGTGGCTTATTTGCAGTTAATGAGGTACGGAGATTTATTGGTTTTTCCTACCCATGGAAAAGAAATGTAATGCATTTGTACTATTCACTCATTCTTGGAAAATTCCTGGGAGCCCCAGCTGAGAATATCTTCCTATACTGACAGCCATTGTGTGAATATAGAAGGAAACATTGCGTGCCAAAGAATTTACAATCCAAAAAGAGACGAAGAGAAGCAGAAATTAGAGGGTTTTCTGGTCTTTGTCAGTTTTATGCGGCCAGCAGGACGAGGGAGGGGATTCTCCCCCTGTACTCTGCTCTCATGAGACCCCACCTGGAGTGCTGTGTCCAGCTGTGGAAACCTTAACCTAAGAAGGATATAGACAGGTTGGAGCGAGTCCAGGGGAGGCCACGGAGATGCACTGAGGGCTGGAGCCCCTCTGCTATGGGGACAGGCTGGGGGAGTTGGGGGGTTCAGCCTGGAGAAGGGAAGGCTCCAGGAGACCTTATTGCAGCCTTCCAGTACCTGAAGGGGCTACAAGGAAGCTGGGGGGGACTTTTTCCAAGGACCTGTAGTGACAGGACAAGGGGTAATGGGTTTAAATTGAAAGTGGGGAGGTTTAGATTGGATATCAGGAAGAAGTTCTTCCTGGAGAGGGTGGGGAGGCACTGGGACAGGTTCCCAGAGAAGCTGTGGATGCCCCATCCCTGGAAGTGTCCAAGGCCAGGCTGGATGAGGCTTGGAGCAACCTGGGCTAGTGGAAGTTGTCTCTGCCCATGGCAGGGGGGTTGGAACTAGATGATCACTTGGGTCCCTCCCAACCCAAACTCTTCTGGGACTGAAAAGAAAAGGTCGGAACTTGGAGATATTTTGTGAGTTATTCTCTAAATGCCCCCAAAGTTTAACATTCTCCATTATAAAGTGTTTATTTCTCAGGAGGGAACACAAGGTTACACAAAACATTATGTAAATAAAGAAAACAACTTCAAAATAGTGTATTTTGGGTCATGAAAGCTGGCAGCCTGCTTTGCTAGTGTGCAGCTTTTTTAAAGGACAACTTTTCTATGCAGCCACCAGAACCGTCAATACTGGGGGTCTCTGTGCACATTTGTAACTCCACTGGATTTTGTACCAGGTACATAAAACCTGAAATGCAGAAACCCAGCTGCTCGGGTTTTTAGGTAGCTACTTTGCTTTTTAATGAAGTTTAGCTTTTAATTTACTTAACTTCACAGCAATGTCTGCTCTGTTGATACAGTTAAAGGTTTGCTTCTTCACGTTGAAGAAACACAACATTCTGACATCTGTTGAGGTAAATTTGCAGAAATACTTGAAATTAGTACTCTACTCTCCTTTCTCCTGTATTTCAGACTACAAACGTTAGTATCCCATTAATGAGGCAACTTGCTAGCAGGAAAATCAATTTTGTAGAAATTCTTTTGGATATTTTTCATCTTGTCATTACTGAGAAAAGGCTTGAAGTGGGTGAAGCATCATGGCACACGTTTGTGGAGGCCTTCACCAGAGAGGCTTCTGAGGACACTGCAGCAGAACAGGTAATAGAACCTACGTGGCCCAGCGACTTGCGCAGGAATGGTGTACTAACCTTTCCCAGGGATGTTTGCCACAGCAGAACTTGGTCCAGTGCGGAGGAAACGGGTCCCTGTTCATGGAGGTTTGCAGCAAGGACAGCTCGAGTGAGCGGGTTTTGTCTTGGCATGGTTCGTTGGGCATTTGGTTTGGTGTGTTAGAAAGATTTTGTTTCTCAAGTGCAGAGACTTAAGGGCCCCTGAGCATAGCAGGGAATTGCCTGAAGCTTTTGATGGTTTCCTTCTGCATTATTGTCCCTTCTCGGCTAAGCTGCTGGCTTAAGCAGAGCTGCCCACCCGAGCTGTTGAGCAGGAACACAGGACATGCCCCACTGGAACAGAGCAGGAATTCCTGCGTGTCTTCTGCCTCCGCCAGTGGCAGTAGGGAATACTGGCACAGGCCAGCCCAGCATCCCTCTGTTCCCTGTGGAACCCTCCTTTACCCCGTTTTCTTCAGCTCTGGTGGTTGGTTGCTTATGGAGGTTCCAGTGTAGGTTTTGTGTCAGCTGGTAGTGATGCTGCGTGTCTGCTGCAGACAGCTGGGTTGTAGCTGAGGCCGTAAGCACAGTTACACACTTGTGTGTTTGTAAATGTATTGTTGCATTTTAAAAAGTACGTTTCGGTGATTGTGGCTGCGTATGAGCACGTAACCATGGATATGTGTTTTCCAGGGTTGGAAGCAGATGGAGCGCGCTGTGGGTCACATCATACTGGCTCAGCTAGCAAACGTACAGGATCTTTCTGCAGGCTGTGCTGCCATCAGGTCCAAATGCCTGTATCTCACTGGAAAAACTCTTCGTTTCCTTGCCGTGAACAGAGATCCTGTACATCCCGAGGCGTACTGGAAGCTGAATGTTACGGTACGCGTTCTCTTCTACACTTACATTTGTTCCTGTGTGAAAAGTTTGTCTGCCGCAGTGTTTTTCTGAACACACCTGTAGAATACTACTCTTTACTTAGAGCTAGATTTTACGTGCTGTGTACAAGCCGTAATACAAACGGATACTGAAGCAAGGCATTTCACGGAAATGCTGCTACCCACACAGAGATAATTTTTGATTCATTCCTGAGCTAATTACAGTATTTTCAAAACAGAGAGGGAAAAAAGCCCCCTTGAATGCTGTAAAGCACTTGGTGGGTTGGTCTCTGAGTCCATGCAAGCAAGAAGTAAAAACCTGCAGATTAAAAGCTCAGACGTGTAAGTTCCTTTCGTGTTGGAGTAAGAACACCAAGTAGGAAAGTGAAAGTTGACTGAGTCATTATGAATTGAAGTGAATAAAACTGGGGACGAATATCAGAAAATCAAACTCTCAAAGGTTGTGGGGGAGGCCTTTTCAGTTTCTATTAGTCACATCGTCTTCGTAACCTATCAGGCATCACAATGTCTTCATAACACCGCTCAGCCTCGGCACCACGGGATTCACAGCCTGAGCTGGTTTCCTTAAAGGCGCGTTCTCTTTTCACCCAGACTCTCCCAAAGAAACGCAGCTGGCTGTACTTACTGCAGTGACTAATTACTCTTTTGTTGTACTGCTCTGAGTAGGCAGAAGCTAAATCGGACCGTGCAAGAACTTGCCCGAGTTCGGCGGAGGGCAGCGCGCAGGGGGTGGCTGACAGCAGTTCGCCAGGCAGTAGCTGTCAGCGTGAGACCTGTGGGAGGAAAAGACGGGAATTCAAGGTGTGCTGGTGGATGTGCTTGCACTAGGATTTGAATGCATCCTGTTTATGGAATCCCTGCCTTACCTCATTGCTTGCCTTAGTGCTCCTGTCAGAACTGACACTGGGAATGATTGTAACAAATTTTGTCTTACAAAGGAAAAAAATTTTACACGCAAACCCCCAAACCAGCTTCATCACATCTCTGCTGCATGTCTCTGTCCTGCTCCTCAACGCATCCTGCGGGAACTCCTGACTAGCTTTCCTGGCTGCTCCCAGAAAGGAATAATTCCCATTGGTTGAGCAGCCCGGCAAGGTGAGCAGCAGCTTTCTGCTTCACACTCGCCCTTTTGCGGGAGCGGGATGCTCTGCCGACTGGGAGCAATGAAATCGCTTCTGTCACAAAATTCCTACCAAATTTCCGTTGTCTTACGTGAGCCGATCCCCGTGAGCTGCTGCAGTTCAGAGCACGCCAGGAACTGGGAATGTACATCTGGTGTAGCTACTGTGATCCGTAAACACCCCAGATAAGAGCCCTGGGGGTTTGCTGGTGTTAAAGACCGTGAGCAGCCAAGGGAAGCAGCTGTGCTGACTGACCGAAAATCCCTGTGTTCTCCAGGCTCATTGCCTGGGGTTCCAGCACTGTTGGGCCAAGTGCAGGCTTTCTGTGACAGGAACTGTGTTATTAAAACTCTTTCTTCTAATGTTGTGTAGCAGGTGTTGGTGCCTGCTAAATAATTGATCTGTATTTGCATACTTGGATCATGCAGGAAGTATCTTAAAAAGGAGAAAACATTCAAATAGTCATGAAACAGTAATACTTGTGTTTTCTAACACGAGTGATCTGTGTGCATATAACAAGTACTTAATATCAACACGTTTCTCATTAACCTTTTGATTTTTCTCATCTAGAAGGACCATAAGTTGTCTCAGAACTACCTTTCTCAGTCCAGTGAAGCTTTGCTGCAGGGCCTGGGTGTTGCGTTCCGTCATGGTGTCACTGACGTACTGGCTCCTGCTGGTCTTGAAATGGTTGAGTGCTTCCAGCAATTTGATCCGGTGTCAACAAGCCAGTTTTTAGCGCTGTATCAGGTGAGGCAGCTGAAGGATTACGCTCTTTCCGGTGTAACATGGGTGTCTTAAGTTACACAGCAAAAATGTCTGTTCATGTAGCCCGAAAAAGGGTCGTACGGAACATCCAAGAAGTAGCGTGGGGCACAGGCATTCAGGCAGGTGGTGTGTTGGAGTTCAGAATGTTTGACCAGTGGCTTTAGCAGCTCTAGTGCCCACTGTGGCTTGATGTTCTCATTGATGAGTGCCACGTGGAAAGATACGGACATATCACATGCCTGTGATTAAAGGCAAGACATGACCTCAAAATACGGTTTCATCCTTCCCTAACGAATCATTTTAGAAATGTTTTGCTGGATTTGTTCATTCGTGATTTTGAAGGCGATAGGAAGGGCTCACACTCAGTGTGTCAGGTCAGCACCCAGACAGCACAGCCCGTGGGTGGCTTGAAGGCTCGTTGGTCACTCATGAGTATGTGCCCTTATCACAGAGGAGATGAGGAACAGCTGTGAGCCTTATTCGGCACATCAGGAGCAAATGATACTTCCTGCACCATCATCTCCACTGCAGGAACACAGAAATGCCCCTTACACTCCTTCCCTTCCTGCCACGGCACAACAACAGCAGGACATCCCGGTGATTTTGCTAATCCATCTCACCCTTCCAGCAAGAGACTTTGACATACACATATGTCTTATAGCAAACATAGTCTACATGTGCACTTAGGTTATTTCTTGGAGGGAAAATGAACATCTGTAAACATTTTACAGAGCTGTTCAGCGTCTGTGACGATGAAGAGTATCCTCCTAACAGCTACATCTTGTGGCAGCAGCTCGCGGCTGGCAGCATTACTGCATCTTCAGAATCATCTAAACCAGAACAGAAACACGAGGGATCGTCTGAAAAATGTGGAACAGCAACTGGCTGCTACCTCAGCGGTAACTTTGAGATGTGTGACGTACCAGGGGTTTGTGTATGCTCTATAAATGCACAGAGAGACGCCTATCTACATATACATACATACCCCCCAGATACGTATTGTTTCAGTTATTCCTGGAATTAAATAATATTTCATCTGGTTTCTTTAAGTTCTATGAAACCTTTTGGTTTTCTTAGTTTGAGGCGTGGGCTGATTGGACAGCATCCAGTCATCCAGTCTGAGGCACTCGGGTCCCTGTGCAAGCGGTACCCAACGGAAAGAGCCTGATACACGTGACTCTCTTTCAAAGCAGTGCTCTGTCTGTCTGAGCCTCAGCCACACTGGTGTTGGAAACTGGGTATTTAAAGAAACCAACCAGTAAAGTGTTATTTGTGTAATTCATAGCTTTGGAGCAAATCATGGATAAATTTTCTGGGAGGGAAATACTCTCTGTTTTGGTCAAAGCTGGCTGAGAACTGTGTATTCATCACATGTCTAAGAGCTGAAAGTGGATGCTGGAACTGATTGGAAGGCCCTGGGTTAGAAAAGAGCAGCACTGAAAACTGCCCTCGTTCAGGACGAAGGATTAGCTGTACCTGGCAGGGTTGAGGCATTTACGGAATGTGGCAAGCAGGGGCACAGTACGGAGTAAGAGGAACACGCTTCTAGGCTACTGTTTTGGCTTTTCTCTGTCCGGGCTGCATTATTGTACTGAGCAGAGGAATAGGCCAGTACCTTGTTTGGAAGCCACGGGTTTTGAGTTGCTGTCATTACCCAACTGGTAGCAGTTACCCCAGCTGAACACACTCCTTGGCACCCACCGTGGGGGCCCGTTGTGGCAGCGTAGTTGGGGTGGAGCCTCCTGTCCTGCCCAGCTCCTGGGTGCTTGGTTTGATTTGGTTTTAATATTAGCACCTTCTTTCCTAGAAATATTATCAGTTTTCTGGTGAAAGAGTGGAGATTGAGGTTGATAGAATCAATGAAAACAATGCTGCTGTTCACTTGATGCACAGGCGTGGAGAAATCTCTGTGTTCCTGTTGAACATCTTAATATCATGGAGGAATTGCCATCGAATTTCTGCGTAATCATTCTCCAGCATTCGGAAGACAGGTATAAAACTTCCTCGTTTTGGTTTAGCATTCTTTTTAGAAAGGTCATCTTTTTTACCTGGCAATCAACAACCACAATAGTGATTATTTACATGTAACTTTTAATTAACTTCTAAGCTCAGAGGGCTGGAGCCTCTCTGCCATGGGGACAGGCTGGGAGAGTTGGGGGGTTCAGCCTGGAGAAGGGAAGCTCCGGGGAGACCTCAGAGCCCCTTCCAGTGCCTGGGGGGCTACAAGAAAGCTTGGGGGGGGACTTTTTCCAAGGGGAGGGAGTGACAGGACAAGGGGTAACAGGTTTAAACAGAAAGAGGGAGATGGAGGTTTGACATCAGGAAGGAATTCTTCCCTCAGAGGGTGGGAGCACTGGGACAGGTTGCCCAGTGAAGCTGTGGATGCCCCAACCCTGGGAGTGTCCAAGGCCAGGCTGGATGAGGCTTGGAGCACCCTGGGCTATGGAAGGTGTGCCTGCCCGTGGCGAGGCGTTGGAACTAGATGGTCTTTAAGATCCCTTCGAACCCAAACCATTCTGTGATTCTGTGAAACACAAATACACCCCAGTGACAGAATTTCCCTTGCAGGGCCCAGTTATTTCCCATTAGCTTGTGCCTGGTGTGCACCCCCGGGTGGAGGTTGATGTTGCATCTTGAGGGTATTAGTGAGCACGTTAGATTAGCGGGTAGTAATTACTCGTCTAAGAAACTTGCTCTGTATAAACAAGACTGAACAGTCATGTAACCTGCTCAGCAGTTCCTGCTCTCCCCAGGTCGGAGTTGTACGGTTCAGTGGTTCAGAGGCCGAAAGCCAGTGCAGAGCAAAAAGGAAAACCCGCACGGCCAACAGGTGAGTTCCTCTGGCACTTCAGAGAGCAGAATCACCGCTGCCATTTCGGGAAGGCTTGTGTCTGTCACTGTTGCACTCAGTAACACTGCAAAATGGTTTTTAAAATAACTGTAAGTCTTATGAATACTCAATTAGGGTAAATCCCTAAATACATGCGTTTCGTTTTCTGTTATAATGTGTCTAGTCACAATTCACAGGATTTTGGTTTGTACTTGACGGCAAAAGTTGTTACAGATAAATAAGAGTGGAATTTCACTTTACATTTCTGTATATGTTTTGTGCTAAATGTGTATAAACAGTTATTTTCAAAGAACACCCTGGCTTCAGAAACTGGTGGTGTCTGTGCAGTCGTTTCTTCAAGTTTCTTCACTGCCTGGAGACAGTGCTACCCTTGTCTTGGCAGCGCGAGCTGGAGTTTGCCGGCATCCTGTGCACCCTGGCACATTTGGTGTTCTGCTGGACAAAGTGCGTCTCTACAAGCAGCAGCAGATGAAACGCCTTCTCCAGCAGCCCGTCGCCCCAAATGCACAGGGGGGTGACCCCAGAGCAGATGTGGTAATGTCTTTGAGTACCCCTATGTAACTCGGGTGAGATGTGTGCTAAAGGCTACCCTAAGCTCCCTTCATGCAGGTTTTCCAAGTCATTCCAAGGGTAACATCCCCAGTGTCGCAGCTGCTAAATGCTGTGCTCTCAGCTTCAGAAATTCAGCTCCCTGAGTTACTGCTCCTGTTTTCAGTGTCACTCAGCAGCTTTGACATGTCCAGTAGTTTATCATAACAGAAAACTGCTGCCGTTGAGATCAATTTACTTGAAAATGTGCTGCGCCACAGAGATTTGCATCTAACGTGTGTTGCCTTTCACGTCACCTGAAAGCCCCAGCTGTCCCAGGAAAAAAATGGGAGCACAGGTCTCAACTCTTCCATCAAAATAAAACAATCTTGGCCAGAGCTTTATTGCTGATTGCCAGCAGAGGCATTTCTCTTGGGGCACGCAGGATCCTTTGCGCTGGGGCTTGCTCTTTGGACACGGCTGAGTCTGGTAGTCACCAACTTTGCTTCAAGGACTCCTCTCGTTGGACTCCGCGTGTGTAGCTCTGGGCACTCTTAAATTCGAGATGGTACAGGTTGTCTGCTGGTGCGGGAGGGCTCCGCCTGCTAAGGACGCTGGTTCACAGCCGCTGGCACAAGCTGCGGGGCAGAAGGTGGCACTGGGACCCTGGGACCCTCACAGAGGCTTCTAAGCTGCAAGGTGGCTGAAAGTTTTCTGCACAGGAAACGTGCGGGTCTACATCCCAGCGTTCTAATTTACTTTAATCTTCACTCCATTAGATAAAATCTGCATTTCTCAATATCCAAATTGGCTGTTAAGTGTAGCTCATTAACAAAAGCTACAGCAGACCCATTGCCACCATTAATATGAGGTAAAAACCACAGAGCATATTAAATTTCCTGTACAAGTTTCATTGCTTTAACCGCAGAACTGCAACAGCGGGTTCTTGAACTGTAATCCTGGCTATTCATCACGCTAGGTCCTGTCAGGTAAGGTACCGATTCATAGAACCATAGAAGAGTTTGGGTTGGAAGGGACCTTAAAGATCATCTAGTTCCAACCCCCCTGCCCTGGGCAGGGACACCTTCCATAGCCCAGGGTGCTCCAAGCCTCATCCAGCCTGGCCTTGGACACTCCCAGGGATGGGGCATCCACAGCTCCTCTGGGTAACCTGGCCCAGTGCTCCCACCCTCTGAGGGAAGAATTCCTTCCTGATGTCCCACCTCAATCGCCCTCTTTCTTTTTAAACCCATCCCCCCTTGTCCTGTCACTCCCTGCCCTTGGGAAAAGCTGCCTGAGCTTTCCTGTAGCCCCCCAGGCACTGGAAGGGGCTCTGAGGTCTCCCCGGAGCTTCCCTTCTCCAGGCTGAACCCCCCAACTCCCCCAGCCTGTCCCCAGGGCAGAGGGGCTCCAGCCCTCGGAGCATCTCCGGGGCCTCCTCTGGACTCGCTCCAACAGCTCCGTGTCCTTCTGCTGTTGGGGCCCAGAGCTGGAGCAGAACTGCAGGGGGGTCTCCCCAGAGGGGAGCAGAGGGGGAGAATGCCCTCCCTCACCACCCCCGGCCACGCTGCTCTGGATCCAGCCCAGGATACAGTTTGCTTTCGAGGCTGCCAGCGCACACGGCCGGCTCGTGGCCAGCTTCTCATCAGCCAACACCCTCCACACTCTCTCATTTGCTGCTTCTACATCATCTTGCAGTTTCTCTTTACTTCTCAAAGTTGTACTTTCATCATTTCTTCCTGTTATTTGGAGCACAAAATTATCTTTTCTTTCTGCTGGGCTTCCCTGCCATTCCCCGTTGCAATTGAAGAGGTATATTCATCACTCAGATAATGAGTATTGGCACCTTGTACTGACTTCGATATTATCAGCATTTTGCAAACTGTTTAGGAGTGATGTTTTGAAGGAAAGGAGTTTTGAAACTGATTTTCCATTTGATGATGTTTCAAATGTTTTGATTTAGCTGCTGATTTAACGTAAAACACCCTGCATCCTCGTTCAATTGCATTTTGTGAGTGTTGTGGTTTTTGTTGCAATGCACGTGACAGACTCCACCAGAGAAAACAGATGCTGATGGCCACGACGTGATGTCACATTTCTCTGAAATCTTAGAAATGATGGAAGAATATCTGAAACCAGTGCTGACGCAGCTGGGTTTTTCTGGTATCAGGTAAGACATTCAGACCAGTTTTACCATCGTTTGTGGGAATAGAGCAGCGACTCAAGTCCCACAAGTACAGGGATGGTTTTAGCAAGAACAGACCCTGTTGAATGAACATTTTACATGTTGAAGGACAGCTTATGCAGGACTCCGGGTTGAACCGTGCGATGGGAATGGTCGCCTCCAACCACACATTTCAGTGGAAGTTCCACCTTGTTGAGTCCAGGATGGAACCATAATTTAATCAGTTAAGAGTGGGGTTTTCAAAGTACAGGAACATCCTTTGTGTAAGATTTCACTGAACTGAAGCAATTTTGTGTCTGTTTTCCGTAGTGCTGGCACTATTTTCACTGTCGTTCCTCTTCCCAGAGAACACAGCACAGCAGTTCCGGCAGCTGAATCAAGAAAAACACAAGGGAAGGAGAAGGACACCAAACCCACGAGAATGCCGGGTACATGCCCTCTTGAGTAGAAAGTAGATAGAAAGCAAGTTCCTGTCCTTTTAGTTTCAATGTCTTTGAAGCCAGGGAGAAGGGAGAAGCTCTAGCGATGGTTTTGTCTGTTTATTTTCTGTAGCAAGTATTCAGTATAATCCCCAAGGGATGATTTATACACTGGGTGGAGCTTCCCTTCTGCAGGTATCTGCAGTCTTCCCAGTGGTATAGGCTCTACACAGCTAAATAAAATCCTTTACCACAGAACAGCCTTTTCGGGAGAAGGGACAAAAGAAAGAGCTTTCTTAAGCCTGTTGAGCTCTTTGTTTTGTTGTTTCCTGCGTTTTGCTTTATGGACTCACAGGTTGTTTGCTTTAATGCAAGGCCAGTGCTGGAACATGTCCCCAAACACTTTGCAAGAGAAGAGACGGTCAAGTCCATGGTTTGCTTTGGGGATGAGTGTTTTGCCTTGTGGGGTGGAGCAGTGGGGTTTCTCAATTAAGAATTACTGTAAAAGGTAGCTATTTGCATCTGCTTTACTGGGAAGAGTGCCTTCCTGCAGACTGGAAGCTGCTGCTTCTGGTGTTCTGCAGAGTCTGAACAGTGTCTCTTCACAGGTTTGTTGTTCTCTGTAGAGCAGGAAAATGCTGTCGTAATGATGCTCAGGACGTTTTTGTAACTAACAGAAGCCAAGTTTTCTACAGAAAGAGGCAGTTAGTATGGGGTGGCGCTCCTGGACAGCCCTGTGCTGCTGAGCCAAGCCCGCTGGGGCGATGCTTGCCTCATTCCCTTGAGCAGGCTCCACACCCTGCGTCCCATCCCTGCTGACTGGTTGCTAGCACGGGCTGTCCTTCCCCCAAAGAGTCCACGCTCACAAGTGCCTGTGCATAGGAGCAGCTTGACAACATGTTAGCAGTAATGGTGTCAAAGGCAGTATTTTTGCACAACACACTTAATCCACAGCAAAGTTGAGATCAGGTGTCACACAGGAAGAGATTTAGGTTTTTACATCTAACTTCAATTATTTACATCCCCACTGAGAGCTACTAAATCTCAGCCACATTCTGTCACGTTTCTTCAGGTACGCCCATGGATTCAGGATTGTGTGTGGTATTACTAGCAGACACATTGTTTATGGAACTGCCTTTGGAAGCTCTAAGTGTCTTTGGAGAAGAAGGAATAAGTTCTGTATCCAGAGACTTTTCTCTCCAGATTCTCTACAATCGAGTTTGTGTGGCTGAATCAGGTACGATTAGATAAACCTCCGTATTCGCGTAACGATGCAGCAGACAGGATAGTTGAAATGTAGACAGTGTGTGGTGGTCAACTGGAAGACAACAGGGTTCCGGTATTTCCTGCGGACCAGCCAGTGCAGCAGACGCTTTCAGTAATGCACAGGCTGGGGATCGTTGCAGTGACAGCTAATTGAAAATAACCTCTGCACACTAACGAACTGCGCAAGGCTCGGTGGGGTCTAGAACGTCTTGCAGATTGGCAGTGACACACGGATGGTGTAAAGGCTTTACAGCTGTTTTCAGCTGCGCTGAAAAACAGGAACAACAAGTCAGACTCCCATTCATTTCCTTTACCAGCAGTGTAAGGCTGGTGCAAAATCTCAGAAGTAACAAGCTTCCGCACTGTGTAGCTGAGCTTGGTAAAGGGCTGGCGTCAGTGCAGCGACTCCTGCACTGGGCATGAGCAAAGCCAGATCCCCCAGGCGTCATGGCTTCTCTCCTTCCTGCAAACACTTGCACTCTCTGTGAACTCCCCAGTGAAATCAGTTTGGGAGGTCGTTAGGCAGCTGGTAAACTGCTCCTTATGGCATCTTCAAACTTGTTTCTCAGTTACTCCAAAGTGAGTAACAACTGCAGGCACTAAGCGTTTCTTTGTATAAACCAAAGATACCTTCTATTACTGCAATTGAAAATTTGAAGTCATGTTTTACTCATCTGTAGATAAAACCCCATTCTACCTTAAATTAAATTACTAAAACGAGTGGGCCTGAGCTAAAAACTAGGCTCAGCTTTGAAAGGTCTCCCTCTGAGCCGTGGAAGTGTTCTGGCCAGAGAGGTTACTGTGTTGTGTCCACAGCTGTGATGTTTAGCCCCCTCAGTATAACCTGTCCTTGTTTCCCACTTCACCCCGGCTTTATGAAGGGCACGAATTTTGCATCACCTGAGCTGATGGGATGTTTAGTCTGCAAACACACCCGTACCCTGTTATGGATCTGTTAGAAATAGGAGGTTTAGAACATGTGGGCATTCCATTTCGGTTTTCCTCTTCTGTGAAGTGCAGCTTCTTACGTTTGCATAGTCTTCATAAAGGAGAGGAAGTGTCTGCTCATGCGGTTCTGGAAGTGGCCACTGAGTGAAGAAGCTCTGGCCGTCCGAGCGAGGATGCACATCTCCAACACCCACCACCCTCCTGTGAGACCGCTGGGGCTGTTACTTGGGGTGATGACCGTGTGCAGGGAGAACTCTGCCAGGGTTTTGATTTTTTTCAAAGTCCCTTAAAGAAATAGAACATCAGGTTCAAGTGTGAACTTTCTTTTCCCTTCTGATGGCTGCGTGTCTCGCAGGAGCGTCGGGGACACCAGCAGTGAACAGCCGTGGCAGTAGGCTGAGGAGGTGCTTTGGTAGTTGCTGTGCAACTCTGGCCACAAGCTCCGGCGTGTCGAAGCGTTCGCATGGCTAAGGGCTCGCCGCTCTTTTCCACTTTCAAGCCATTCCTTTTCAGCAAGAGGGTTTGGGGAATATCCTTGCCTTGCTGGGATGTGGAATTCACTTTATTTTTCTAGTGTAAATTGTTATTACATCATAAGAAATATAAGTAGTCCTTGAAGAAAGCTGTACTGTCTATAACTGCCTGTATCTAAAAGAAACCTCTTCTTTTCAATCCCACAGAGCCTGGAGCTAACACAGATGCTCAGAGGTCGAGAGGAACAAAACCAAAGCCTCGTCAGAAAAAGAATGTCAGAACGGTGAGCCTTCCGCATTTTTAGACAAACTCAAAAGGAGTAGCTCTTCCTCTGTGTTAAAAATGTCGAGCTGCACGGGGCGTGCAGAGAAGCTCGGTGCCTGCGCTAGCTTTCTGCAGAGGAATGGCACCCACATCCTTAAGGATTTTGCTTCCGGTGGCTTTTGCAGGAATGGCAAAGTTGTTGTTTCTTTGCAAACTCGTAGTCCCTGTGCGGTGTGACGTGTGTAGCAGCCCACCAAGGGAGCCGCTCCGCGTTGCTGAAACACTTCCCCCAGCAGTGTCGTGGGTTCTGTAAATACACGCGTATGTGTGTGTGCATATACCCGCACATGCGTGTACATGTCTGTAACGGGTATGTGCAGCAGTGTAGGTAATGCCGAGCAGCTTCTGCTTGTATTCCCCATTGGAAATTGCTGTGTGGGTTTGCTCCTACCCTCAGAACTCTAGGACACGTTTTGTTAGCTTAATGCAAACAATGCAGCACTGTTAACACTTGGTTGAGGTGTCTGCGTGTACAGACTATGTCCTCCTTTGATTGTAGGCACCAACTAGTGATTTACGCTCTGACCGCTTGCCTGTTGATACTCGCAAGCTGAAATGTATCCTTTCACAAACTGTTGGCTGTGCGTCAGTTGAACTCTCGGTCGCTGTTTACATCACAGTTTGCTCTTAACTGTGTCTCAGATATTGTGGACCCCTACAACGAAGGAATAGAGGCAGGTAATACATATTTAATTATGTTTTATCCACAAACTACCCATGGAATTCAGAAATTTTTGTAAGAGAGAATGCAGTCATGACATCGCGATGTTGACAGAAAAACTTTTCGTCCGAACGGTGGTGCTTATCACCTGGGCAGTGGTGCATCAGTGGAACGATGTAACCTGGGTCAGGTCTGGGAAGAGAGGAGATTGTCCTATTTCTTCCGAATCACTGAATGTTGACCTAATGTTGCCAAGAAAATCATGACGCGAGTGATCTTTTTTCCTGTGTGACCCAATCAAAAATACATGCTGGCTCTCCAGAACTTGTTACAGCACTCCAGATTTTTGGGTCTGTACCACAGAGACGCCCTGTCAGTAGTGTGGGGAGGATCTTGGGTAACTCAAGGGATACAATGCCGTGTAGGATCTTACACAAGACGTTTGCTTGAAAGCCGTGTCTGGGCTTGGAGCTGAGAGCGCTGAGTGGGAATGGGCTGGGACAGGAACAGCAGGACTTGCCCCACCTGCACAGCCGTCCCCAGGCCAAAGACTGCAAATGAAGTATTCAGCCTGACACAAATGCTGTAGGAGCAGTTTTGCCCCACTTTTTCTCCCTGTGGGTGCAATAGTTTAACTGATTTACATTTGTTAACAAACGTGTATGTCTATCAAATGCCGCAACTGAATTTAATGGAGGTTTTTAATTGAGATTGTTATTAATCCCAAACTCGACATGAAAAAGCTACGGAACCGTCAGCGGCCTGCTGGAGTTTGTCTCCATGTATCTGCAGTTTCTTCTTTGCAGCATATCGGTATCGAAGTCTGGTTTGCACTGTGCTCAGTGTCTGGCTCCAGAGCGTAGCTTTAATTTACAATGAACGTGGAGCCAAAGAAGAGGAGATGAATTGTCATTAATCACGGATTATCCTCGGAGAGCCGGTGGTGGGGGTTGGAGTCAGGGCTCTGAAACCAGGGCTCTGGAACTCAGTTATTTTCTCCATCTGCTTAAGGCCTCTCTGAGCCTCTGGAGCAGAACTGGGTGAGCGGTGCTGGTGGCTTCATCTCCTTATGCTGTCCTCAGGGTATCTAGAATTTTTCCTTTGTGCTTGTACAGTCTTTAACCTGTCTACCAAACAGTCCTTGTCAGTTAGAAAATAGGCCTTTCAAACTTTCTTACTTGGAAAATGTTGCAATTGCTACAGTGTGAAATGCTGGAGTTAGGTTTCAAACCCCTTAAATTCTACTGGTGGCCTAAAAAGACCTAAATATGGTTGTTTTTAAATGCTGAAAGTCAGATTGCCCACCGTCTTTTGTAGTATGTTAAGCTCCTAACGATGAACTTCTCTTGTTACAGGAGCTGTGAGTCCTTCCCAGAAAGTAAAGGAACTCCTAGAAAAACACCATGGCCTGTTTCCCCTGCAGTGGCAAGGAGTGACTGGGAACAGCCGTGTTCCGGGGTCCGTAACATTCTGTCTGCTGTCATGTTCTGTCCATGTTTCCTTCTGAACACTGTGCCTACCCCGAGGCTTCCACCGTGCGACAGGGTCAGGTTCTGCCATGCCGGGAACGCGGCGCTGGCTGCTGTCTTTCTTTCAAACGCGGGTTTCGATTCGTAGCCAGAACGTTTTAGGGATCTGACATATGGTGCCACGAGGTGGTTTGGGCGGATCGGCTGCGTCAGGATGGCTCTGTGTGTAGATAATGCAGCTTCGCCAGAGGCTTTGTGGGTGCGGTCCCTGGTGAACGTGAGCATAAATGTAATTTCTGGCTTTTCTCAGGGCTGTTTTCAAATCCAAGCATTAAAAGCTCCAGCTTCTCCGTGCAGCCAGAGTCAGCTGTAAGCCCGGAGCACGAATTCCAGGAGCACAGTTGTGGTGGTGCATCTAACAGTTCACAATTTCAAACATACCATTGTGAAACTAACGCCGTTTCATGGAGTTTATTCCCAAACACCCTTTGTTCCTTATAGAAGGACTTGACTTTTAAGGTCATGGAAGTAGAGGGATAAAAGGAATCTCGAGAGGTCAGGGGTGACGAGTGAGTCCGCGCAGTCGTCACTGGACCTTCCTCTAAAATTGCTCCTTTACCAGTTCTGTGAAGTCGTGGAATCATAGAATCACAGACTGGCTTGGGCTGGAAGGGACCATCCAGCTCCCAGTCTCTGCTTGGGTAAAATCCCAGGGGCGAGGACTGGTGTCTGTTACAGGGTGTGCTGCCGGCAAGGCTGATTATTCACATCTCTCTTCAAAACCTGATTTCCTCCTATCCTCAGGGGTGCATACGCAAACGCCCCCATGGAGCGCTAAATCCTCTTTGCTCAGAGCTGCACGCTGCATACCTCGCTGATGGCTTTTTGAGGGGAGTCTGGTGCTTACCTAGAAACACCCTGTGCCTCTTGTTTGCTACGAGCTGTTACAAAGCTAAGTGTATCTCTGTATTAAAATAATTACTGTTAACATTCCCTGTGAGTTACTACACTTCCCATGGAATGCCGCGGGCTCGTTTACCCCCTTGCTGTGGGTGCTGACTTTTCTGGCAAGCACTTGTGGAGTAAAGAATGCCGAAGTGTTTGCTGTGGAGAATTCCTGAAAGATACCCTTGTGCAGCAGTAACACAAATGTAATTTCCTTCCGTTCTCCCTTTCAGCCAAGCGGGATGGGAGCAGCTGCTGCGTGACTGCAGCGCATTCCTGTTCTACGGGGTGGGGCATGTCTCACGTTTCACCCGCCGGACTGGCGACTATGAACATCCCAGGTGAGTGAAGCAAACTGGAACATACTCTTCTTTCATGACATCACCTTTTGCTCCCAGTTGTGCTTATTTTGTCCGGTGTGATCGGCACAGTGTCGATGTTGGCAGTTAAGGGCTCTTTTCAAGGTCTGGGGTTTTAACTAGAAAAACCTTGCGCTGTGCTGGCGTCATTCTGTTGCCCAGCTTCTCTGTTATTCTTCACAGATAAGTTTAGTCCTTCTCCGCTTCCAAACATTGTCATCTGATGGCTTTCCCTCCTTTCCCTTTCTGTGCAATTTGGTCTTTGGTAACGAAGTGAGTTTTGTTGCCAAGAACAACCCCTGCAGGACCACTTCCCAAGCATCCCTCTGCCTCCCCTCAGGCAAAGCAGAACTCTCTGTCGAGGCCGGTCCATGCTGAGCGCTTTCCCTGCTGGGATGGGGCATCTGCAGATGCTGGGAAAGTTGGGGTTTCCCTGCTTCCTCACAGCTAATGAATATTACTGGTCTTGTCACATAAGGCTTAGATTCAGGACTGGTTTGTCGGATTCACACTCTTCCTTTTCCTCCTGGTCCCTTGCACATCTGGAAGGAGCTCAGCTGCAGGGCTGTGCTGGATTTGTCCGGGCAGCTGAATCGCGCCCTCCCATCCATGGTGTTGAGATGCAAAACTGAGGACAGTACGCGTCAGGTTGGCAATCCCGCAAGTCACAGGAAGCTTCTTCAAGAAGCATTGATTTTCAAAGTGGTTTAAGCATGTATATGTCAGTATGACTGGAGTTCAAGAAAATATGTCTTACGTTACACGTTGATCTCTCTTGTAAACAAGGTTTCACATGTCTGTAGGCCAAAGATTTGCAGGACTGGGAGCTTTTGGAAAGTTCCCGAGAACCTTGTGAACCCTCACCCTGTGTCCTGCTCTTAAAATACGCTCGGATTAATTCTCCAGTGTATCTAATTTCCTTTAATGGAGAATAAAGTAATTTCAGATGTGTTGATTTTAGCCCTCAAAAGGTTGTTCTGTTTTCTGGCCCCCTACACAACTTCTGGCTGTTAGCTGGTAAAATGTCTGCTGACTTGCAGACTGAGTTCAGATCTACTGCAGAGCCAATCTTCATGGTAAAAGTGCTTTTACGCACAACTATGAACTGCGCCTGAGGTTTCTGTGGGCTCTAACCGGGACACAATGTTATTAAATGTCGCTGTTGGCCATCTGCATGCGGAATTCGGAAATATCGTTGCTGAATCGGAGTGTGAGGCCAGGCTGCGCAAGAGAGTGAGGTGCTTCAGCAACTCCTGAAATGCAGGATCAGAATGCAAATTAACCTTGCTTTAAGGGGCTAATTAGCAGTAGTAATTCAGGAAGGACTAGAGGGAGGTGTTGTGCTAAAGCAGAAATAATCAGTTACACATTAATAACGTGGGGAATGACAGAGTAAGGGACAGTAAGAGAATAGCGTCCCGAGGTGGATCACAAATTAAACAATGTCATCTTGGTGGGGAAAAACCCGGAAGCTCTCCATAGGGGGAACTGTGCAGGAGTCTCATCTGCAAGACAGGGCAAATAATTCCCCACTCGACTCAAAGGTCTGAACGGGAGAAGAATATTGACCAAATAGAACATGTTATTGGAGGAGAACGTGGAGAGTGGTCCGCAGTCTGTACCACAGAACCGCGTGTGGGTTTAGTAGCAAATACGTATGCACATCCATATGTACAGGGGACGTGCGTACGTAAAACACACCTCGGGAGGACAGACGGACATACGGAGGGGTCACATGGTGATACGTCGCGGTTTGGCAAAGGCTTTCCAAGCAGCACTGTAATTTACTGCTCATTTGCCTGGGTTAGTGGAACAAGCAACAGGTTTAACTGTTTGGGTTTTTGCAGCAAACCAAACAGTAGCGAAAGGCTTTTAATTCCAATGATATTCTAAGTTAAGTTCTTTCACTGGGGGCCTTTAAGGAAAATAAGGAGTATTTGCAGTGCAACTTGGGCCTACGCTGTGGGGAGGAGCAGCGGTAGGCGACTTCTGCATCCGCCCATCGTCAGGGAGCTTCTGACGGCGCCCTGGGTCACACATCCCTCGCCGGTGCTGGGACGGGACGGGGGCTTCCCCAGCGCTTACACTAAGGTGGGGTGGGAAAACTGCAAAACACTGGAAAACTGTAGGAGTTATATCAAATCAAGGTCAGGTGACTTTATCAGTGTTCTTTTGCTTCATTCTTGACAATTTTGGCTGAAACACATAGAAGTTCTGTTACTTGTTCAGACTGTGTTCCAGAAAGTAATTAGCTGACTAAAGGGCTGATATACTTGCTACGGCAGTGTTACCGGTGGTGCGGGCACCGTAGCTGTGACACTCTTTTCCAGAATGCCGTTTGGTGATACTTCTGGACCTGGTGCGATCAGAAGAGAGTTACCGAAGAATTGCAAACTCCGATACCCACAAAAGGTAGGAGAAGGGTTATTGTATTCCACAATAAGGCAGGTTGGTTGTATTGCAAAGCAAAGTTAAAATTTTGAGTTGCTAATATTCTCCTTCACCTCTGGAGGTGGAGGGGCTCAAACCTGCACCCAAGGGAGAGGTTGGGCTCTTTGTCCTGTCGCCTCACTCTGCACAGGGCTGAGTAGGATGAAGGCTCAGGCACAAGGCAGTGATCAAGCAAATGTGACACACAGCCGTTCCTGTGTTTCACAAAGCTCCCAATCCTGAGTTCAGGCGTCTCCAAATGTTCCAATTAAATATATAAAACTTCCCTTTCGCGGATAAACTATGAAGAGTTCCTCTAAGGTTTCAGACACTGAGCAGTTTAACGATCAGCCAGGTTTTCATTTAATTAAGTAATTAAGGCATGTGAAATCACCTGTTCAGATCTTTAATATTATTAATCACATCTTTTTTAGCCTTAAAAGCATCTCAGTATTTTCCCTTCTTTTAAGCTGACAGGTGGCAGGGTATATATACCTTTATTTTACATTCATTATGAATTCTTGGCATATGGCACACGACAAATACCTTTTCAGGTATTAAAAGCAAGAAGAATAGTTTTAGTTTCCTGATTTTCTTCATGAACTATTTAGCCCATGCTGAATTTTCAGATAACCCAGCTGTATCTCCAGGGACAAGAGGCACTGCAGAGGGA